AGGTTGTTAGCGTAAGGTAGGTTTTCTCCTCCTCTCACCATCATCATCAATCCATAGGTAATATAATGTAGTGATTAAGAGTCAGGGCCTTGACACCAGACGACCTGGGTTTGAATCCTAGGTCTGCTACCTGTTAGCTCTGTGACCTGAGGCAAAAAACATAACTTTTCTTTCCTCAGTCTGCTCCTCTATAAAGTGGAGACAATAACAGAAATTACCTCGTAAGGCTATTGAGCAAATACAACGAGTCAACATGTTCCTAGCAAATACATTTTAGCTATTATAACTAATGATAACAGCTACCATTTTTAAACTCAGGATAGTGCAGTGGTTGTAAGTACAGCCTGGAGCCTCACTGCCTTATGTTCAAATCCCAGCTCTACTGTTTACTAATTGTGTGCCCTCGTGCAAGTCCTTAAGCTCCCTGGGCCTCAGTTTCATCATCTGTAGAATGGGAATCATAATGTTTCCCACCTCTTGGGGTTGTTGTGAGGAACAAATGAGTTAATACATGTGAAACATTGACAACAGTGGCTATCATCTAATAATGGCCGTATATGTGCCATGGAAGCTATTCATTTTATTTATGCATCCTCTACCCTAACTAGCAGCACTATATGAAACACTATGAAGATCTCATTGCACTGAACCCAGTCAATGGCTCTACAGGGGTGGTATTATATCTCCATTTTATGGATGAAGGAATTGATGTTTAGTGAAGCTAAGTTGCCCAAAATAAAGCAGTGAGTAAATGGCCGTGGTGGCATTAAATCTCAGATCTGTCTCCTGTGTAAGCAGAGCTCTTACGCACCATATGATGTCGCTCTTCTGATCAGCAATAGTGGGGCGAGGAGTGCCATGGGGGAGAGGAGGCGGGGAAAATCAGGCTCCCGTGCTCCTCCCCCTCCATCTGGTGCAAGATGGTCTTTGTGCACTTCTGTGTGTGTGAAGGAAACTCGAAGACATCTCTAAGACAACATCCTCTGAAATCACCATGGTGGTAGG